CATCGAGCGGAGGCAGAAAACGCGACCGGTGTGCCCGGGAAAGGGTGGTGCAGCGCTGGAGTGTCCCTGTGGGGACCAGAGGGCTGGGACTGTCCCTAAATCTTGGTGGCAGCCATCTCGAGCTGTGAATAAATGGTCTTTCTGTGGGCTTCACTGGAGGTTCGACACGTGGATGGCCACAAAATGTTTGGGAAGGGGGTGGCTGGGTTTGGACAGGAATATTTCCCAGGGCAGCGATGAGCGGGGATCGAAGGGGGTGGAGAAATGAGAAATCCAAACTGGAAGAGGCACTGCCAGGGAACTGCACGCTGAGGGGACGCAGAGCACTGAACCCGTGGGACCACCGAGGCCGGGAAGCTGCGGCAGGGACTCGCTGCGGTCGGGGAGGTGCCCGAGTGCCACCTCTCCCGCCCCGGGGCTGTCTGGGACTCGCAGGCAGAAATGCGAGAAATGGAAGGGTGCGTGTAGCTGTTAGAGCAGCAGATTTTAGAGAGTTCAGGGATCCGGGCGAGAGCGGCTGTGAACGCAGATGTTTAAAGATTAAAAACGACCACGGAAAGCCTGCGGAGGAGAGCTGGTCTGCGCTAGAGGGCAAGCTGCGTGAACTGGAAATAAAAGACACGGAGGAAGGAACAGCCATGAGCTGCCCGAGGGCTGAAGAGGAGCGGAGGGCGATAAACCCTTTGTTCTGAGGAGGTGGGAGGTTATCAGGTGAGAATGCGCCGTGGGTTAGACCTTCAGGGTCGGAAACGCTGCTAACTGCCTCGGAGCTGACAGACTGCGAGGTGCTTTCCAGCTGCCTGGGAAGGAGCAGGAGTTCTCCGCTGAGAGAAGCTGGAGAAGGGCAGGGTCCAAACTGGCTCTAACGTTGCCAAAATAACGGGAACCTCGCTAGAAAGGTGAGTTGGAAAGCAAACGTCTGTGCTGCCTGTAGCAGCCGGGCAGGCCTGCCCGGACACCCTCCGACTCTGAAATACCGCTTCCTGCATCCTTCCTGAAAAACTCCCAGAATAAACCCAATTCCCCGTGTATTAAACAATCTAGTACTGTGCTGGGGCCAAACGGAACTGCTCTGGCTTAGGAACGGCCTCAATTTTTATGTTTTTATGCAATTCGCTTTTAACAGAGTCGGGAAATAGGTTTACCCAGACTTGGGAGTGGAAGGGAGAGCTGGATGGCTGCGGGAATAAGGATGGAAGGCGCAGATTAAGAAAATGCGCGGAGGTCGCTGGGCCTGGAGTTCAGAAGCGCACAGAATAACCAGGAAACTTCATTTACGGCAATTACTCGGAATGCTGAAGGGAAGCAGTGAAAGTGGACGTGGTATCTACTGTCTGGAGAAGAACTGTGACATTTGCAGGTGTGAGTTGGAAAGTCTGCAACGTCTTGGAGGACACCTGATGAACAACAAACAGGTGGGAGGACTTTACAGAAGAACTCTGCTGCCACTTCACGGGCGCTATGCGGAGACGGTCCAGTGCTCCTTGTCCAGCCTGCGCCTGCAGGTAGGCTTTTCCGCAAAGGCTCAGCTCCTGTGAGGCCTGGAGCGGGAAGGGTGACAAAAGCAGTGGTTTGAGTTGACGGGGGAAAGTCTACTAAGGAGCTGAGAAGGTTTTTGGTGAGTTTGGTCTGGTCTCAGTCAAGTCTCGGGGATCTTTGGGAGTAAAGAAGTTAAGCAGCGTTTGGAGGAGGACGGAGCAAGCCTGGCTGCACAGCGGGAAACGGCGTGGAACCATTTAACTGGCGGGTTTGGGGGACAGGACACAAAAGATCTTTCACACGGCCGAGTAGATGGAGGCTTCTTAGAGCTGGAAGTGATTATCAAGGCCACTGACTCCAGCATCTCGCTCACCTCGGGCTGCGCGGCGGTAGGAAGAAACCCAGAGTTAATCCGCGCACGATGCCGTGCGTGGGATCAAAGCGCGGTGGGAAGGTGCCGTTGCTGCCTCGTGAGGGACAGGACACAAAAGATCTTTCACACGGCCGAGTAGATGGAGGCTTCTTAGAGCTGGAAGTGATTATCAAGGCCACTGACTCCAGCATCTCGCTCACCTCGGGCTGCGCGGCGGTAGGAAGAAACCCAGAGTTAATCCGCGCACGATGCCGTGCGTGGGATCAAAGCGCGGTGGGAAGGTGCCGTGGCTGCCTCGTGGTCCCTGTGGCACACCAGAGGTGCCAGCGTGGTCCCAAAAGTAAATTACCCAACGTGGTAATTACCGCCAACGGTGCCCGGCTTTGTCCCCGTGCATCTCACGAGGCATTGCGCGCGGGTTCGGAGCGCATTTGCCGTGTCGGGGTTTGAGTGGCAGCGAAGGTCTTGGCTGGCGGGGCGGCGGGTGACGCAAAAAGCTTTGCTGTCGTGCGTTTCGAGCAGCGGTCCGCGAATTCAGCGCGATGGCGAGGGCAGAGAGCTGCGGAGCGGACTGTGAGCGCTTGGGCTGTGAGTACTTCTACACCGTCTTCCCGTCAGGCTGTTAGTTTTTAAAAGAGAGCGTCAAAAATGGAACGGACCCAGAGGATCCCTAAAAACTCCCAAGCTGAGGCATCCCCTAAGTAGCGTAACTGAGGGCTTCCGAGCGATTTCTCCTCTAGCCCCCTATTTTTATTCTCGACTTTCCGAAACTTTCAGGCAGAAATCTTCCAGCCTTGGGCCCTGTCCAAAGGCACTTGGTTGGGGGTAGGAGCGTAGGAGGCGGATTAAACAAACAGTTGAGCTGTTTTGAGAATGAGTACGAAAATACTGCTCCCTGTTGAAATTCTTGTAACCTTTTTATCAGCTCTGCAGCTGAAATAGCTGGATGCAAAAGTTACGACTCACTTTAGAAATGGACATTGCTGTCAAGAAGAGTGTCTGGGGGGGAAAACTGTTTGATTTTTGTATTTCCGTGACCCTTTGAAAGCCACGTGCTGAACACCCTTCCCCGTCTCTCCCCTGAGCTCACAACAGGCTGTGTTGGTCAGGGAACTGCACGCGTACATCACAGCGTAGGGGCTTTAACCACCTCGCGCCATCTCTAGCAGAAGATGTTGTCCGAACTGCCTTTGAAATCCTGGAATTAAAAATTTGGGAGCAGAACCTCTGGTTTTTGTGCTGCGCGGGACCTGTGCGTTGCTCCCGTGGGACAGATACTAACGTAGTAATTTGTAGCGTGAAACGATGCTCGGCGCACGCTGAATCCGGGTGAGCAATTAGTCTGAAGATCCGTAGTAAACACAGCGCTCGCTGTACATTCCAAATTAAATATAGCCCGGAACAGAGTGGGAATTGGAAGGCAGATCTAGGACACTTGAGTTTGCAGCTCGGAAGCTTCCTCGGTGGTTGGTTCGTGCCGTGAAAGGCTGCGCTGCCGAGGGAAGGGGAGACGGCGTGCGTGCATCTGTGCGTGCAGACGGTAGCTCCTACCCTGACGAGGGTTCCGCTGGCCCAAAAGACGAGCGAGTTTGCGGTGGCGTATCCAAGGCGAGCAGGGCTTGAGGGTGGGTGTGCAACCCCCCAGGCTGGACTTGTCCTGAAATGCGTGACCGCCAAGAAGCTCATCCGTCGAGGGCGTTTGGTTTTCTACCGCTGAACTCTTGCCCTCGCAGGCTTACAAAAGGCGAGCTTCTTCCTGGTAGCCTCCCGGAGTGGCAAGTCGCATCTTGCCCCGTTGCTCAGGGCAGCTGGCATCCTAGCAAGCCGGTCCTTTGCTCTGCAGGGGCGTGCGCTGGAGCTCAGCGGGGGAGCGGATGGAAAAGCGAAAGGCTTGTAGTTGGAAGTTGCGGGGGGAGGAAATCAAGCTGGCGCAGGTTGCCGGTGGGGTAAAGCCTCGAGGTTCTGCTTCCTGGAGTATTCCTCCCTTCAGCGCCTCCTTACGTGTTAAAAAAAAATGCCCCAGGGTTATGTCAAGTATCGCAAAGCAGAGCCTGTCGCCCCATCTTCGGGGCACCGGTAATCATTGCCGGGGAAAGGAGGGGTTGATCCCGTTGCTGTGGGGCTTTTGTTAATATTTGGCCGGTCGGAGAGCTGAGCAGCTGGTCTGGAGACGTGCAAGAGAGATTTCCACGTTGCTCAAAGAAAAGGAGCAGACACCGTGGTGGATTGCACAAGCGAGGGGTTGTCGTAAGCCTGGGGCGCGGCGTGTTTTTTGTAGGGCAGCGGAGTAGCAGGGAAGAGCAGTACGGTGCTGAGAGGGGGCTGCTGGACCAGCGGGGAAGCGCGGGGATTTATCTTTGCAAAAATGAAGCGCTGAAAGAGGATGCATGCCACCGAGGGGAGGGGACAGGGCTCCGGGCAAGAGGAGCTGGCTCGTGAGAGAGAAAGGCACCGGATCCGTTTGCCCTGCCTTCATTCGTGGGCAGTGATTCACCACCTTCTAACTGCGAACAGGCCCAAGACAAGCGGTTTGGGTGCTAAACCTTCGGACTCGGCTTGCGCTGCCTCAAAATTGCTCGCGCGCGCCGGCTCCCGGTGAATTGGGACGACCGGTTTGCCAAGTGTAAAGGAAGCTTCCTAACCTCCAGCGTTGTTCGTTCGCGGCGCCCGGCACGGCAGGGCACCTGCGGCGGAGTGGCACCTTGAGATAACTTTTAAGCATCTCCTGGGTTGGTTGGTGGTTGGTTTCTGCTGGCTGGTCAGTGCTGGGGGGGTCTCGGAGGACTCCAGCAGAACGGGGCAGTCCTCCAGAACCCCCTTTAGGCTCTTTACAGTCCACAGGTCCCTTTCCGAGCTGCGGTTTCACCCCCGGGGTCTCCCCTTTGCAGAGGTGCTCATGGTGTCTCCCCTTGCAGGATTCTGAGTTCAGTAATGCTGATCAGATGGACCTGTACGACGACGTGTTAGCAGCCAGCTCACAGCCCCCCGAAAGCCGCACCAGCAGCTCAGAGCCACCCCCGGAGATCCGTCAGGAGCCATCCCCTAAGCCCAACAGCAAATCTCCTGCCATCCTGTACACGTACAGCGGGCTGCGCAACAAGAGAGCCGCCGTCTACGTGGGCAGCTTCTCCTGGGTGAGTGG